ATATCGGTACCTAGAATTATGTCGCGCGCCACAAAATTGCCATCAATGAACATACAGAAGTACCCCACTCTGGAGTGTCGGGCCATAGCAAGGAAGTCAGGGTTGAAAGGATGATTAGTGGTAGCGAAGTCCACGAGTTGAGTCCCCGGACGCATGTAGACGACATTCGCCAAACCCGACCCGAACGGGCCGATTATGATATCAGTTTCCTGCAGCTTCACCTGCGAGGGTCCTTGAGACCTTCTGTCGGCCTCCATTTTCTCACCATCCATTCACGTATAGTAAATCGACCGAAAGTCTCCGGCCAAATCATGGTGATAGTCGCGCCTAGGTTTTCCAAGGCTTCGGCCAAAGCGGAAATACTGCGTCGATCGATATGACGGTCACGCACGGTGGTCTCTCTGGTCTCGGAGGAAAGGCGATGATCATTATGGAGTTGGTGGACTCACCGAGTCGTCCACAGTATCCTGGGTCGTGTTGGAAGGTCCCATTCAGGAAGGGGCGCGTCGAAGTCGATCGCCAGTCTTTCATGGTTAACCAGAGGGTAGACCACCGGTGGCTATCACCAAGGACCCAGGTTCGATCCCCGGTGCCGGAACTAACACTCTCCCTACCTCCTCCTGAACGCGTCCTTCCGTCGGCTTCCAATAGGACTTTAGCTTGAGCGAGACAAAGACTTGGTGTTGATACGCGGAGACTATCCCTCTCCAAAAGAGATCATTTCCCCATGGTGCTACGTTGTTGTAGTAAATACACCTGTCGGGACAACCAGAGGAAGAGTTTTGATTTGTGATTGGCTCGATAGGGATGGAGATGCGCCTTCGTTACTTTGAGCTGTCCTGTGGCCAGACGAGCTGAGTGCCGATGCAGACGCCTCCTTGGGAAGGGACGACCTCCGAATATTTGCGAATACGAGGGAACTGCTAGGGTGTGAGATTGACCGTCACGCGCCATGAAATTGGTACCAGAGCCCCCAAGAGATCGTATATTTTGATGGTCTTCCCTCGGTGAAAAGGCCAGTCCTTCAGCCACAGCTCATTGGGATGGTCCGAGCCGTTGAGACCCGAGAGGAGGAAGTCGGCGAAGAGTGGTATGAGGAAGTTGTTATGGACCTCCAGTGCGCCGCCATAGTCAGTTTGAAACGCTTCATCAACCCACATGGAAGGTGTTGTCGGGATATGCCACACTGGAGATTTGAATGTTCCTGTCGAGGATCCGATCGGTGCACGTGGCTGTCGGTTGGGAGGGGAAGGTCTCGTTGGGACGGAAGTCCAGTACCAACTAGAGAGGGACGACGATTCGAGCGATTAATGGTATGACTAGACCTTCCCCCAAGGCCTCCAAGGAGGCGTCTTAGTGATCTCCCATCGACAGTGAGGTTTCAACCAAGCCTTTAGCCTCCGTCCAAGCCTACAGGAAGACGCTACCGTTCCTCGAGCAGTGTCGTCGTACGGGCTTTCCTGGGAGATGCCGAAAATGGTCATTTTAGTATGCCCTTTGGACGTAGTCGTCAAGGCTACGTTCGATAGACTCACGAGTTGATCGTCGAAGTATCTGTTCCAAGGGACTGCTGGGGTACTGATGAGATGATGAGTCCTACGGACGACAAGTGAACATCACTGCAGTGATGCCTCGTGCTTTGGCCTCCACCCAGTCACTCCGTTGTCTCGAGTTGTCAGTAGTAGATTTGCAATAACTGATAACAACCGCG